GGCGCCCGGTGCGTGTGTTCTTATGGGTGCACCCGTGTGCTCTCTGTATCTGGCCCCGTGTGCGCGCTTGTGATGTGTGTGTGTCCCCCCGGGGCCCGCCAGGCATGTGCACACACGTGCTGTTGACAGGACTGCGTCTTTGAATCTCTCACAGACGAGGTGCCCTTTTTTTCACACATCCTCACACTTAATCATCCTTGTCCTAAGTGTCCCCAGCCTGTGCCCGTAAATGTCCTCTGCCCCCCATGCCTGTTCTCCTGCCGTCACTGGCTCATTGGTCTGTGGCTCTCTAGGACCACGAGAGGCTCTGGAAGGCAAGGGCTCTGGCGGGATCTATATTTGGTAAAAGCTGCGTTCAGAACACCATCATGGAGAGTCTCCGTGTGCCTGAGCGTCCTGAAGGCCCAGAGAAGTCCTGACATAAAGAAACCTGATGAAGTTAGCGCCATACAGGCTTTCCTGGAATCCTCTGGACCCTGATTTGAAATGACAACACCCTGCTGGAATCAGCGCACACGTAGGGATGGATGTCTGCAGGGCGCTGGAGAGACAGCCCGTCGTCTACAGGGGACACTTCTCCAGTAGAGCCTGAGTCCTCACCCTTGGCCCCAGGCCTCAGAGCTGGCTCTCAGGGCCTAGGATGCCAGAGAAGCAGGTGTACGTGAGACCTGGCCATCCACACCAACCTTCCAGGACAAGAAGCCACTTTCTGACTCCGGGTCCAGTGCTCTGCCTCTCAGCATTCGCCCGGCCAGCCCAGGTACGCATCCCTTCCTCAGCCCCAAGCCTTCCAGCAGCCAAGATCTCCAAGTACAGTGGTCGGGTGGGGATGGTGGGAGGGGGTAGAGAGCAGGGACTTCCAGCCAGTCCCACTCCTGATCTGACCACTGCTTCCAGAGAGTTGGGGAGAGTCCCGGAGGCTCACTGCTCTTCTCTCCCCCTCCCCCATAACATTGAAAGCAAATGATAGAATACACGAACACAGTCTCTTTGTATGATTCAAATCATACAGAAGTAAAACCCAAAAGTCTCTTTAAACCGTCCCCACCCGCCCCAGTCCTTGTCCCCACCCCAGAAGTAACCATGTTAACAGTCCCATGTATCCTCCATTTCCACGTTTATGGATTTTAAACAACACAAGTGGAACATACTCTGTATTTTTCTGTGACTCGCTTTTTACTTTTTTTTTTTAATATTTTATTTCAGAGAGAGAGAGAAAGAGAACAAGTATGAGCGGGGGGAGGGGCAGAGGGAGAAGCAGACTCCCTGCTCAGCAGGGAGCCAGAGGGGGGGCTCAATCCCAGGACCCAGAGATCATGACCTGAGCCGAAGGCAGCCGCTTAACGTTCTGAGCCACCCAGACACCCCTGTGACTTGCTTTTTAGAAAAATTTAACGATCTGGTCCATGTCAATACATCTTAATCTACCCCATTTTTTTTTAAATCATTTACATAGTATCCCAGAGCGTTGATGTTCTCCTCATTTACTGGATCATTCCCCACTGATAGACGTGTTCTTTCCAATTTTTTTGCTATTCCAGAATAAACAATGGTGTAATAAACAACTTTCAACAGATCTCTGGGTGAGAGCATATGCAGGAAAGATGGATTCCTACACCTGGCACACAGGAGTCAGAGCCTGAGAAGAAAAGACCAGGGAGGAGGCTGAGGTTCCGAGTAGACCCCAAGCAGCTGCGATTAAAACGTTCCCAGCGTGGGCGGGCGCCCAAGGCCCGCCCTGTTGCGCTCCCCTCCTTCCTCTCCCAGCCATCCCAGGCTCTCCCCCGCTCCTATCGGGGCGGTCCGGCCCCCACTCTCCCGCCTGCGGCCCCCGCGGCAGCAGAGCGGCCCGCGCCTCAGAGGAACCAAAAAAAGCCGGCGCGTGGTGTGCGCGCGAGCTGCGCGGGGCCCTGGCGCTGCTGTTTTTAGTGTGCCTGGAGCCCAGAATATAGACTTAATCACCCCCAGGAAACGCGGCCATAATATTTTTGGTTGCATAAGCAAACTAAATTAGAAATCTGGAGCGCGTTCAAGACCTTTAGATGCGAGCGCGGGGGACCAGGGGAGAGACAGATGGGGATTAGGCGAGCTGAGCATCAGGAGAATAATTTCCTCTTTTAATTTGGGTTCCATCGACCAGGAAAGCAGCATTAACGGCCCAGTTACGTAACCGGCGCCAGGGCCCGCTCGCATGAGCCGCCGCAGCGAGCCGGCCCGGCCCTCCGCCTCTGCACCTGCCCGCCAGCGCGGCCTCAGCCCACTCAGCCGCCCCGGGGAGGCGGGCGCTGGCGTTAGCCTGCTCCACCCGGAGTTCTCCGACAACGCCAGTGAGTCGTCCCGGGCCACCCAACTCAGAACTGGCGCTCGGGATCTGAACTCGGCGGGGGGGGTCTTGAAAGAGGCTCCCCAGGTCCTTGCGCAAAGACGGAGTGTCCCACAGCCCGGCTCGCTGGGGGAGCGCTGAACGCAGCCTGAGGATGCCCACTGCAGGATTGTAGGCAATGATAGGAAATTGGAACCTAGAAAATGTTTGATAGTGAGGGGAACGGGCAGGTGAACTACAGAGCATGCATACTAGGGCATATTCTAGAGCAGCACAAAAAACTGGGGTGATCTCTCCGTTCAGACGTGGACTGTCCAAGACAGAATTGAGGAGAAGAGAGCAAGTTGCAGAACAACACGAGCATGAGTCTGGTTTGTGTTAAAAAACAAACTGCATATCCCCGCAAAACCCTCTCTCCGCATCTGCAATGTACATGAAAGTGACTGCCTTTTAAAAAAGGGCCAGGAGGGTGGTTAAGGGCACTGATGGGGCAGTCCCCTTCGGAGGCAGGCAGGGCATAAAAGAAGGTCAGGGGGAATTTGCATGTGACTCACACCAGAATGTAAACGTGTGTGCTTGTGTTATTTAGAAACAAACCCCCAAAGGCATGAAGGCTGGGGGTTAGCCTTGCAGATGGAAGCTGGACCTTGCCTCCAGCCAACGTTGCAGAAAGCAAGAAGGAAGGTCTGGCTGTGCCTACTGAATGTTGGAGCAGGGAGGGTCTTAGAGAGGGTGCGGCCCAACCCCTTCTGATCTGAACAGGGAAGCCAAAGCTCCGCCCGGGAGGGGCCCACACAAGCTGGCAGCTGCGGGGAGGAGGTAGGAGCCGTGGGTTGTCAGCCTGTGGTTTTGCTACCACCAATTCTCAAAAATGCTGGGGTCAGGGTGGTGCAGGAGAAGGAGGCAGGAAGGCAGGAAGGCAGGAACTAGGTATCCATGGAGTGGGATAGATGGGGAGCAATCAGATGTCCATCCATCCAACCATCCCACAAACACGTCGAGGGCTATGGTGGATATAAAGCATGTCTGCAAATTCTTCAGCACTCTTCCCGTTGGAAAGTGGGGTCTCTGTCTCTTCCCCTTGAATTGGGCTCACCTGAGTGAGCCCACAGACAGCAGTGGAAGGCTGGGTGAGAAAAGACCGTGCAGGTTTCTCCTGGCCGTGTCAGAAGGCCGGCCACTGTGCGGCTGCCATGCGGGGGAGACCTCTTGGAGCCCCTTGGAGCCCCGGGAACCACCAGCATCAGCGTGCGTACGCCATCCTGTTCATCCTGCCGAGTAGAACCTTCAGGAGATTGCAGCCCACCGCAGACCCCCAGTGAGAACTGCCTGGCTGAGCACTCTCCAGATTCCAGGTTCACAAAACCATAAGCAAAATAGAAAGAGTAATTTTAAGCCACAACGTTGTGGGGTGATTTGTTACAAAGCAGTAAGATCTGAAAAGAGGGTTATTCCACGCCAGGCACTGCACACAGAGGAGTAGAATGATGAATCAGCATGGTCTCTGCCCCCCATAAACTAACAATTTAATGGCGAAGCAGGACACATAAGCAGATAATTATAAAATAATGTGGTAAGCGCAAGGATGGAGTCATGCACGGGTAATATGGGAGCAGAGCTGGAGTCTGTAATCTAGGCTGGGTGGGGTCTGAAAAGTTTTCCTGGAGGAGGTGATATTGAGCTGGCTTTGAAAGGGGAATAAGGGTTGTTGAGGTAAGCGATGAGGTGAGGGAGGAAAGGTGTTTCCTAGCCAGACAGTAGCAAGAGTAAGCCCCGGAGGGGAGAAATAGAACGTCAGCCAGGGGGAGCTCCTTATGAAGTCGGAGACAGGCAGGGGAGGGGAGGAGACCGGGCAGGTGGCAAGGCTTCCCCATGGTGAGTGAATGGGCACCAGGTGGCCGTTGAGTTCATCATGTTGAATGTGGTGTTAAGGGGATGTGGGATGGGCCCTGGGGCTTCCTCTTCTGCTGAACTTGTCTGGGGAGGTGTAGGTGGGAGCCAAGTGTGGTAACCAAGGGCCTGGTGATCCATGGTCAGAATTCCCAGAATGTGTCCCGACAGGTGAGCCACAAGAAAGAGTGAGGAGGAAACTACAAAGTCCAGGGACTCAGGTAGGTTCAGATCCAAGAAACATTCATTTAACACTTACTTGCACCTGGGAGTGTGTTCTACGTAGATTATTCAATTTAATCCTTAGGCCAACCATTCATTGATTCAGCAAATATTTGTTGAGCACCTACTGTATGCTAGGCCCTGGACTAGGTGCTGGGAACAAACATACTGGTGATTAAGACAAACACTGTCCCTGCCCTCGTGGAGCTTAGTGTGTAGTGTGGAGGGTATTACCTCCATTTGACAAAAGCTCAGAGAGACTAAGGAACTTGCCCCAAGTCACACAGGTGGTAAAGGGTGAAGTCACTCGTCCAGGATGCTTTAGGGCACCAGGGCATGGCAAATGGCAGAGGAGAGGGTAGGGCTGGGGCTGAAGGGCAGAGGGCAGTCTGATTCCAGGGGCCCCAGGTCTGCAGGGAGGCTGAGGAACCAGCAAGGTGACCTTGGGTTTGGTCAGAACCCCATCCTAGAGAACTTAGGCTCAATAGGATGCTAAGAGGGCAGTGGATTCCCTGTTATCAGGAGATGCATCTTGGGGCTGGAGTGGAGATTCCAGGGGATGAACAGGGCCCAGGGCACAGCTTGAGTACCCCCTCTTGATGATGATGATGGTAACCCCCCAGTATCTATTACACACGGGGCTCTGCACTAAATGCTTTCCATACTCCAGCTATTTGATCTTCCCGGCAACCCCTCACTAGCCCATTTTACGTGTGAGAACACTGAGACTCCTGGAGGTCAGGCAACCTGCCCAAGGCCACATAGCCAGGGAGGTGGCAAAGCCACAGGGATGGACCCACCTGGTCACCTCACACTGGAGCTGGCATGGGAACGGGCTGGGGACCCAGATAGCCCGGCTTGGGGGCCTGTGGGGAGACCAGGTACCAGGCCGCAGCCTGGGCCCGGCCATCCCCCTCCCCTAGGCCTCCTCCTCCTCCTCCCAGCTCGTGACTGCCGGATGTGGACTCTTCTTTCCAGCTCCTCTAAAGGAAAGGATCCAGGAGGTCACCTTACAGGTGAGGAAACTGAGGCATAGGGAGAGGGTGTTAGTTGCCTCAGGTCACCCTGCCAGTCGCTGCCGGAGCTGAGATGAAATTTTAGATCTCCTGAGTTTCAGTGTAGTCCCTGCCCTGCACCCCTCCAACCCCCTGGTTTTCCAGGCTAAGAGCAGGGCCTAACTTCACTCCCCAACACCCAGCACACGCACACGCGCGCGCACACACACACACACACACACACTTCGTTTCCCAGGTCTCCTGTCTCTAGCTGAAGGCATCAATCCGAGTTCCCACTGGCACGTCACCTGTCCATTCACACCTGCCCACTAACAGGGTGGGTGTAAACAGCTCTCCGCAGCTAAAATCAATGAGCATCTCAGGCCAAGCAGAGCTAAGGCACCAGGAAGTGACAGGCACTGTGGCCAGCTAGCAAGTGTGTGCGTAAGCCCAGCCCCGGTGACATTGTCACATGCCCAGATGCTTGCCCAGAGGAATCAGAAAGCTTGGTTTTATGACATCTCCTAATTTAAGCACGGGTAATAGGCTCACACATTTTTTCCAGCATTAGCAAGCAGTTTACCTGGTTTCAAAGGTACAAGTATGGAAGTCAGGTTTGAATGGTACAGCTGCCCTCTGGGCCTCAGACACCTGCTGCCAGGCACGCCCCTGTTTGGGAAAAGTAAGGAGGTTGTCCATGAAATCCAAGGAAACCTCCAGACCTGAGGAACCCTAATTAGGCCTGGTGGCTTTTCCTTGTCAGTACTTTAGAATCACCTGGAGGCTTTGACAATCCTGATGCCCAGGCTGCGCCCGGACCGGTTAAATCAGAGTCCTGGGGGAGAGTCCAGACCACCAGCATTTTTAAGAGCTCCTCCCATAGGGCGCCTGGGTGGCTCAGTCGTTAAACGTCTGCCTGCGGCTCAGGTCATGATCCCAGGGTCCTGGGATCGAGTCCCACATCAGGCTCCCTGCTCGGCAGGAAGCCTGCTTCTCCCTCTCCCACTCCCCCTGCTTGTGTTCCTGCTCTCTCTCATTCTCTCTCTCTCAAATAAATAAATAAATAAATCTTTAAAAAAAAAAACTATACACCCCCCCCCCGCGCCAATACCCCATATCCCTTCTTCTCGCCCCTTTCCCATTGCACTTGTCACCATTTAAAAATAGGATACATTGAACTTCGGAATTTGTTCTTATCTGTTAACTCTCTATAAGATTCCTAAGGGTTCTGTCCCTTCAGTTAGAACGCCAGCACCTAGAACAAGTCTGACAAGCAGTAGGTGTGCCAAACATATTTGCTGAATGATTAATTTCTAAAGATAGCCACTGTTAGTTTTTCCAGTTTTTTGCCTCTGCCTAAATACATTTATTATTGTTTTAAAAGAAACGCCAAGTTATAAGGTCTTGCTTATCTGCTATCCTCACTTGCTAGCTCCTGATTGCTTTTCCTGGTTATTAGTCTTTACGACAGCATTTTCTTTAGAAGGGGCTGGAGTTTGCAGGCCTGGTGGGAAGCTGAATGGTTGTGCTCCCCGAGGAGAAGGCTCCGCCGCACTGCCTTGTGGGCAGGAAGGATGGAGCGGTGCCAGGCCATCCTCCGACATCAGATCCGTGGGCACCAGATCCTGCTTGGTGGTGAAGCAGGTGCGTCAGAACCCAGGGATTAAAGAGCTTTCGAAATCCACCGGCCTGTCTGCAACCAGCCAGCGGGCCACAGGGCACATGCCCAGACCTTCTGCCGGCTCAGGAATGGTGGAGGGCACCATCCGCACGTACATGTGGGGGACCTGGGGAGAGGGGTCCCACAGTGGGCCACGGCCTAGGCCTAAGCCTGATGGAAAGCTGAGCTCCTGGCGGGGGCGGGGCAGACCTTCTCCCTGCTGGCCGGTTTCCTGGCGGGAAGGCGGGAGCCTGGGCAGGCTTCTGGGGAGCCCAGTGTGTTGGGGGAGGGGACACTGGGGTGGGGAGGGCAGGAGGCAAGGAGCAAGGGGCATCTGTCCTCTGCACCCAGAGGCCATCTGCTTTACAATCCAGCCACTCGCCCTCCTTCCTGGTAGCAATATGGAGCCACCGAGACTCTGCCAGACATATGAGTGCTAAAGATAAAAATACTCGAAGGACACATGCCTTCTGCGAACTGCTTTGCTAAATGCGCTGTTCCCTGTGAGCCACGGCGTCACTCCACCCTCCCCACCCCCAAGCTGGCCCTGTTCGCGCGCAGAAGCAGGGCCCCTGTGGCCCGAGGCACTGCTGCGCGTGTGAGGACACGAGTGTGTGCGTGCAGGCGTGTCCTCTGAACACACACCTGCCGGCACCCGGACGCGGGCGCACGCACGCCCCAGGGTGCGCACACGAGGGCGGGGCTGCTGGTGCTGTGCACACGCGTGCTTCTGTTTGCGTTTCGGGGTCTGCGGCCCGCTCGCCTTCTGGGGGACGAGCTCCCGCGGGTTAGGCTGCGCGCGAGGGCCCGTGTGCGTGGGCGCCCGCGGGTGTGCACGGCGTGGGCTCTCCTTTTCAACGTGCGGGGAGCTGTGAGTTGGTGTGTGTGAGTGCGAGTGGGTGCGCTCTCGTCAGGAGCGGTGCGTGTGTTCTTTTTTTTTTTTTTT